TTCCTTATATTGTAACTTCTAACCGCACCCTTAATCGGCTAATTGCCTGCTGCATTGTGCTTAAAGTGATAAGCACTTAAACCATGATATCTAAGTTTTATATATTTATTCACCCAAACCATATTTGGTATCAATGTTATACCTAACAGGCATCATAGCCCACAACTGCATAATGGGTGGAGCAAGAAGCTAAGAAGGGACCTTTTCTTCTTTTTTTCTTTTTTCTTTTCAAATGTACACATCTCTATTTACATTGTTAACAGTATTGTGTCATCGATATTACATATATTTACATTTATTTCTATACATTATTCTTTATTCCTTATTCCATTTATACCATCATATCCCATACCGCATAGTAATCTGATTCCTCTTTGCCTTTTAATTCTATTGTAAGTTTGTTCATCTCAGCGCATTCTAATATTGTTCGTATTAACATCTCTTCGCACAGTACATTTTCTAGTTTCCAACCCTGGGAAAAAAACTATCCTCGCTGCTGTAATTATGTACAATATGATGTATTAGATTTGTTTACTAAATGTCCCTTTCATTATTCCCAGAAGAAAAAGTTCGGGTTTAAATTCTATTTGATGTTCTGTTATCTCCTGTAACCATCTTTGTATTTTCATCCAAAATTTTCTGGCTTTGGGGCATTGCCACCACATATGAAAGAATGTTCCATCTTTCTGTTTACATTTCCAACACTCTGATTTTGTATCTGGGTACATTTTTGCCAATCTCGCTGGGACTAAATGCCATCTATAAAACATTTTATACTGATTTTCTTTATATGCTGTTGACAATGTTAATTGTAGTTTTTGGTCCATATTCTTTCCCAATCCTCTAATTTTATACTATGACCTATATTCTTTGCCCAAGCTATCATTATCTTTGCCTATAAAGGTCATGGCAGGAGAATTTTACTTTCAGATTTGCAAGATTCTGCAAAGGTAGCTGCTTCACAATGACGCGGGATTAGCTTATCTGATCGTGTTTCCTGTCTGGTTTACCTGGCACAAATTCAGCAGTATTCCCTTTAAGGATAATTGTTGTACAAGCTTCCCTTAAGCTATTTGCTGAGAATGGTTGGTCCTATCTCATAAATAGTGGTGCTGCAGGATCAAGTGAGGATCTCTGTCAACATAACAAAGATGCCAAGTTGACTTGCTAACAAAGCCAGTGTCGCTATCAAGCTCGGTGCTCAAAATCCCCGCTGAGATCGCTGCAACACAATGCCCTGGATTCTCCCTAGAGATTCCAATTTTCTATCCGCCAAATCAGCCACTTCGCTCCTGCAAATATGTGTGTACGGAATCACACAGCAGACAAGGCAGAGAATCAATTAGCAACATAGCCTCACCCTTCTCTAGCACGATTCAGGGCAGTTGGTGTTCTGTAGCCATTGCAAGCGGTCAACGGGTTCTGCGCTCCCACCGATATGGCTTCTTCTGTGGAGGTCATTTTTGAATAAAAGCAACTGTACCAGGGGAGGGAGCTATTGAAGATGGGAAAGAACACGTCTATCATAATTAACTCAAAGAATTCTATTATTAATCACCATCACCGAGGCCGCAGTTCCTAGAGCAGGACAGGATATGGATAGCAGCGAGTCACAAATACAGAGCTTTAAGGTTTTCAGGCAGAAAACCTTGATGTTTCTTTCTTTCTTTTTTAATGGAAGAAATGAGATGTATTTCCCACTTGTCAACAACATGTTTTTAGCCAGGAGGGTGAAGATGGATGGCTTAGCATTTTAAGAGAAAGGTTGGTTTGGAATCAGCTGGAAGACAAAAGACCAATCAGGATTGGAGGGCAACAGAAAAAAACAGGAGGCCTGACTGAAAAACAAGATCGAGTACAAGATCAGGCGAAGTAGAAAGAACGTTCTTCTTTTCGTCTTTCAGTTTTTATAGCAAAGCAAAAGCAGGATTTGCACCGCATAGTTACCCATGGCTAATTAATTATCGTGGATTAGGCAATTAACCCATTTTTTCTGGGTTCATATGACACACGAACCCAAGGGGCTGCACTCCAAAATGCAGTGGTGAAGCCAAGATAAAAATATAAGTTTCAGTTCACCACATTTGCACTGAATTTAATTTAATTTAAATGTATATTTAATATGATAATCCTCCAATTATGTTTCTAATCAAAATCCCCTTTCTATCATGTTCCAAATTTCAGTTTGAGAATAATATTTGAAGGTCTCTGCGGGTTGCACCCATCTTTAAATGTCCACATACGGTATTTGGACCTTCGACTCCACAACTCTTTAAAGCACATACAGTATCTTCTAACTGATAATACAGGTAATCTTCTACTTACGATGACAATTAGGACCGGAATTTCCATTGTTAAACTAAGTGGTTGTTAAGTAAGTCATGCCTGATTTTTTTACATCCTTTTTGCCACAGTTGTTAAACAAAGGATTAAGGTCCATTTATACAATGCAGGTATAGTCCTTGACTTACAGCAGTTCACTTAGTGACCGTTTGAACTTAGAACGGAACTGAAAAAAAGAGACTTATGACCATTTCTCACACTTATGGTCACATGATCTACATTCAGATGCTTGACAACTGACTCACACTTATGACGGTTGCAATGTCCCAGAGTCATTCGATCATCTTTTGCAACTTTCTGACAAGAAAAGTCAATGGGGAAACTCAGATTGACTTAATGGCCGTGTTACTAATTTAACAACTGCGGTGATTCACTTAACACAGTGACAAGAAATGCCCTAAAATGAGGCAAAACTCACTTAACCTACATTTTGGGCTCAGTTATAGTCGTACATTGAGGACTATGGTACATCCTTTATCCTTGAATTTCAGACACATAAGATCATGTACCAAGCCTATAGAAGGAATGCTGCAGTAATAGTGTTGTTTTTCTAAGGTGCTCTAGGGGGCGGTGCTCATCTCCGTTTTAAAGCTGAAGAGCCAGCGCTGTCAGAAGACGTCTTCGTGGTCAAATGACCGGCATGACTAAACACCGAAGGCGCATGGAACACTGTTACCTTCCCACCAAAGGGGTCCCTATTTTTCTACTTGCATTTTTACATGCTTTCCAACTGCTAGGTTGGCAGAAGCTGGGACAAGTAACGGGAGCTCACTCCGTTATGTGGCGCTAGGGATTCGAACCACTGAACTGCTGACCTTTCTGATCGACAAGCTTAGCCACTGAGCCACCGCATCCTTTTCTGTTTTTCTAAAGCTCCCTCTTTTCTGCCCTCTCAACCCGAGGCAGCACCAATCTTAAACATCTCCCACTTTTCAAGAGGACTACTCACTCTTAATCATGAATCATGGACATCCTCAACGGCTAAGCCACACTGACCCTGGCTTTTCTCAGTCCACCTGCTGCCAACAACTCTGGCTGTCCTTTTGCTCAGCTGCCGATGCAGTGATCATTCGTCATCCTAACACAATCCCTATAGGTGAGTGAAACTGTAAATCTGGTTCATGAGAGCTGGCTTTTGTCGGAAAGTGGCATTTCATCAGCGTGCATTTGCACTCTCAAGTTGGTCGTTAGTGCTCCTCTAATTGCAAGCACAGTAAACACCCCCACCTGGAAGTCAGCCAGGTACTTGAGGAACCTGTCATCACATCCTAACTAGGCAGACTAACAGGTACAGGTAATATTTAATTTACAACCATTCATTTACTGACTGAGGTACAACAACGTTGAAAAAAACGTGAATTATGACCGTTTTTCACACTTACAACCATTGCAAGTGATCGAAATTTGGATGCTTGGCAACTGGCATGTATTTATGATGGTTGCAGTTTGCCAGGGTTGTGTAATCATCTTTTGGGAAGCCTGGTTTACTTAACAACCCTGCTACTAACTTAACAACTGCAATGATTCACTTACGACTGGGCTACCTATACTTACACTGGGGTCTTGATAATCTCTCCACCATGTCCCATCTAGGCTAGTCTGAATCACAGCTTTTGTAAAACTCAACTATTGATGGTCAAGTGTTGAGGAAATACAGCACTAAGATTCCCCACCTCTCTGCATTATCTGTGTCCAGAATATTCTTGAACAACAACTGCCTTTTGTTGTTGTTGTTTGGAGGGGGTTGCCTTTGAGTGAGTCCACCCTGGTAGTCTGTTTTACTTTGTCAATATTTTGTTTTTGTTTTTTAAAGTTCTATTAAAAACTCACTCGCAATTCCCCCCCCCTGCTATTTAGATATTTTTCCCTGTTTCTTTTAATATGTGTAACTGTTAATTCACGTCTCATTGAACAAACCACATTTTGTCATACAAATATCTCTAATGTCATGTTGCTCATTAATGTTACATTTCCCCAACGTGCAGTTCATTTATATGCATTTCCTGGACATAAGCATCTTTTTAGGTTCTGTTCGTTTATGTGCAGAACTTCTAGAAATATGCAGTCCTTTTTCACAGGCATCTTTTACCTTTAAAAAAATAGCAATAGCACTTAGACTTATATGCTGCTTTACAGTACTTTACAGCCCTCTCCAAGAGGTTTACAGAGTCAGCTTATTGCCCCAAACAATCTGGGTCCTCATTTTTCCCACCCCGGATGGAAGGCTGAGTCAACCTTGAGCCTGGTGAGATTCGAACTGCCAGCAGTCAACAGAAGTAGCCACTGTGCCACTGTGGCTCGTGCAGATCATTGTCCAGTAAAAGATGGACACAAATGTATTTCACAGAATGCCACACTCCATGCTTTAGCTGAGTTTGTTTGGGCAAATTTTAAAAACCAGTTCTCAGAGATAGATCGCCATGGCAATTTTATTCCTCCTTCAGTTATCAGTGTGCAACCTGTTATTTTAGGATCAGATTAAAAGCATGGTAAGTAATATCAGATATACACTGGCACAAATAAATAAATAAGCCTGGATATTATCGCAGCTTTCATGTTGTAATCCCTACAAGTAGGTAAATACTGCCCTATGGCCAAAACATTACCATTCTGTTCTCGGTGGTTTTCTTGATACACAAAGGAATGAAAACTCCTACCTGCACACTTTGTCCTACTGATGAGTGGAGGTCCAGGTTTGCCAGTCCCACCATCTCCTGGCCGGGTCAGCAGGACGCTGATTTCATACTCTGTGTCGGGATCGAGATGCCATAACTTATAGGTCTGCATGTTCACAGCGTGTACTTCAGACCAAGGTCCAGAAGTCATCCGGTACTCAATCTCTTTTCTTACAATAGGACCGTCTCCAATGATTGAGTTGGTGTTGAGCTGGATGATTAAGTATGTTGAACCTGCTCTCAAAAGCTGTGGGGGTGCGATGGGCGTTGGGGGCTCTGTTAAGAGGACAAAGTAGTAGTAAGTTCACCTGTTCTTCTGGACACCTTCAGATAGCTGTCCTGAGGTAGATGGCATCATTCATTCATTCATTCATTCATTCACTCATTCACTCATTCATTCATTCTCCCAAAGGTGCTTTTTCAAGAGGCAACTAAACTGAAGAAGCTTCTTGGATGAGAAGCGAAACGTCTTAAAAAAAAACCCAGAAAGTCCAGTTGCCTCTTGGAAAAATACCTTTGGAACAACCATGACCTGGATGACTGAGAACCTCCATAGACATTCATTCATTCATTTAATCAATCAATCAATCAATCAATCAATCAATTTCTATGGCCACCCATCTCAATCAATGATTCTGGGTGGCTTAGAATTTAAAAAAAACATTACAATGAAAAATACTAGAAACATTTTAAAACAATAAAAACATCCAAATTAAATATACACAGGAGCAAGATACCCGATTAGATTAGCAATACAGGTAATATTCAACTTATAACAGTTCATTTATTGACCATTCGAACTTACAACGGCACTAAAAAAGTGACTTATGACCCTTTTTCACACTTAAGACTGTTGCACCATCCTCCATGGTCACATGATCAAAATTCAGATGTTTGGCAACTGGTTCATGTTTATGACAGCAATGACTTGGGCTCATGCAATCTCCTTTTGTGACCTTCTGACAAGCAATGGGGAAGCCAGATTCACTTAACAACTGTTACTAACTTAAAAACTGCAGTGATTCACTGAACAACCGTGGGGCAGGAAACATTGTAAAATGGAGCGAAACATTTTACAAATGTTTCACTTAGCAACATAAATTTGCGGTTCAATTGTGGTCATAAATCAAGGACTACCTGTATAGACAGAAAATGGGACCCTTGACACATTCAGCATCCCAGGTTTTGGAACATAGCCAGTGTCAGGGTTCCCACGATTGCCCTAATTAAATCATGAGCCTCGAGCCAAGCTTCAAAGGAATCCAAAAGATTTATTAGGAGCAACATGTTGGCATTAACCCATATGAAGCCAACTCTTGACACATGTAATTTACTATCACCTATGACCCTGTTTCCCACCACCACCACCACCCGGGTGTGTCATAAATCAGATTCTCCAACAAAACACATTCAGGGGCTGGGTGTCATCAATCACATTCTCCAATGAAGGATTTTTGGGGGCAGAAGATCCAGCAGCCTAGGCTACAATCTTTATAAGATAAGTGTGGAATGTGCTTCTGATTTTAATTGTCGTACTGTTCCTTCAGGTTTCCCCTCACCCCCCCCCTTCTTATGGCAACTCAGAAACAGGCATAGGAATGCTTTACGAGTTGACAGCCAGGTGTTTTAGAGTTTATAGGTTTATAGATAGACAACTCTATTGGGGTGATGGAAGAACAAGAAATAGTAGGGCTGCATTCAGACAACCTGATAGATCAAGTTCCTGAATTAATCAATTTTCTAACTGCAGCCATTGGAACTTCAGCAGCCAAGTTAAGTGTTTTGTGTGTGCTCATCCTCAGATTTCCCTTATTTCTTCAGTCATTCATCCATTTTTTTTATTTGTAAGTTTAACATTACCAGAAGATTATGTTTACTCTTACAGCTTTCATTTCATGATTGCTGTTTTGTACTAAAAGCCACCTTCAAGACACTTAATGTCTAAAGGCAGCTTGCAATTTCTGAAGGACGCAAACACTTAATTGAATCAAGCTGATATCAGCCAATTTGTATACTACAGGTAGGCACTCTGTAGCCCTTGGGCTAATTTTATGTTGCTTTAATTTCAAAAACACTTATGCACATTCGGCTTAGTCCTTTTACGAAAACCGTCTGCCCTTATTTGCAAGGTACTGTTTAGAAAAGAGGAAGGAGGATTGTCAGGAAGAGAGAAAAGCAAATCATATGAGAGAGAGACAAAGAGAGAGAGAGAGACAGACGGAGGGAGGCAGGGGGGAGAGAGGGAATCCTGTATTTTCTCTTTTTTTAATTTAAATTGGGCACTCCCTTTTTTGAAACTCAAATTGCACCCTCCCTATGGCTTCCAATGGGTTCATATAATGAGAACAGGGCCTGGAGTACAAATAGGATTCTCCAGCCATGCGTACATGAGGCAAGTCTTGCTCCATCTTTTCAATACAGGAAGCACAGTTGCACGATGAGTATCCTCAAACGCTGGGCTACCTTCCCATATTAGCTCACTCCAAGTCAAACAGATGCAGAACAGAGGCCTTCTCCCTCTCCCCTCTCCCAGAAGGGTTCACTATCAGAGGCAGATGGCACGTTTCTGTGCTGCTAAAGCCTCTTTATAAATAAGTAACATGGAACAATATCCGCCCACAGCGATGAACAAAAGATATGCAAGGAAAGCATTATCCTTCTCTCTCTCTCTCCTACCTCTCTCTCTTCTCCTCCCCCCTCTCTCTTCTCCTCCCTCTCTCCCCCTCCCTCTTTCTCCTCCTCCCCCTCCTCTCTTCTCCTCCCTCTCTCCCTCTCTTCTCCTCCCTCTCTCTCTCCCTCCCTCTTTCTCCTCCCTCCCTCTCTCTTCTCCTCCCTCTCTTCTCCTCTCTCTCTTTTTCCTCCCCCTCTCTCCTTCTCTTTCTCTCTCTTCTCCTCTCTCCCTCCCTCTCTCCCTCTCCCTCTTTCTCTCTCTCCCTCTCTCCCCCCCCCCCCCTCTCTCTCTTCTCCTCTCTCTCTCCCTCCATCCTTCTCTCTCTTTTCTTCTCTTCCTCCCTCCCTCCCTCCTCCTCTCTCTCTTTCTTCCCCAACCTGAAAAATGCACCCAACTTTAAATACTGTGTGGTTCATCAGCTCTGGTGGAATCTCCAGCTAGACCAGAGGGAGGTGTGAAGAGAGGCCCAAGTCTGGAGTCTTCGCACTGCAAGAAGCAGCACAGGCCTGACCTCCCCCTGAATCCTGGAGGACTGGTCTTGCCATTCTCAAGGGAATACAGTCAGCCTGGTGAGATCCTTGCAACATAGGTGACCACCAATCAAACTCCTGTTGAAGCATTTCACAAATGGTTCCGGTTGCTTTCGCCTGGCATCATAATTGATCTCTACCTATAGGTAGTCTTCGACTTACAACAATTCATTTGGTGACGGTCACAACGGCACTGAAAAAAAGTGACCTATGACCATTTTTTCACACTTACAACTGTTGTAGCATCCTCATGGTCATGTGATTAAAAACTCAGATGCTTGGCACAACTGACTCATACTTAGGACAGTTGCAACGTCCCAGGGGGGTCACATGATTCCCTTTTGCAACCTTCTGACAAGCAAGGTCAACGGGGAAAACCAGGTTGGCTTAACAACTGTATTACTAAATTAAGAACTGCAGTGATTTGCTTAACAACCATGGCAAGGAAAGTCATAACACGGTGCAAAAGTCACTTGACAAATGTCTCACTTAGCAACAGAAATTTGGGGTTTGGTTGTGGACGTAAGTCAAGGAATACCTCTATTGACAAATAGGATTCCAATTCTTCTTCAGGCTTCCGATATCCAGGTCTGCTTTTGCCCAGGGTGACTAGATAAGGCAATCCCAACACCCACGGATACATACCTTTGACTATCAGCTCAGCAAAGTTACTGACACCAGAGCCCCTGCTAGACTGAGTCACACAGCGGTACAAGTCCTGGTCTCCTTTCAGTACTTGATCCAGTTGAAATGTAGCCAAAAATCTTCTGTGACTGATGTGCTTGACTGAGACGGTGGGGATGACAACTCCATTCTGCTTCTACCATTCAGAAAAACAAGAGTACCATCAACCCTGCTCTGAAGAAATGGGTGATTGCAGCCTTATGTAAGCATCATAGCAATAGCACTTAGACTTATATACCGCTTCATAGGGCTTTTACAGCCAGGAGTGGGATCCTACCAGCATAACAACCAGTTCGGTGAGTGTGCGCTTTGCGCGTGCGTGCACAGTACTTGTAAAACAACTTCTCCTGCAAGCAATCACCATCTCCTGCTGATGCGCAGCATTAAGCTATGCCACGCAAAGCAACTAAGATAAGAATAAAGGACAGCCTAGAGCCCGGGTGGGTGGGTGGACCCAACTGAAGAAAAGAAGACCTTCAGATAGAACCAGTTTGGTCAGCTGCTCTTCGGAGCTACCAGTTCTATAGAACTGGGCCAAACCGGTAGAATCCCACCCCTGTTTACAACCCTCTCTAAGCAGTTTACAGAGTCAGCCTCTGAGTCCTCATTTTACCGACCTCAGAAGGATGGAAGGCTGAGTCAACCTTGTGTCAGGTTCCAAGAAATGCAATTGTTATAAAGCAAACTCTGAGGCATTTCAATTCCTCAAAGAACAAGTTTATTAAGATACACCATCTTGGTTCTAACTGGTGTAAAGCTGGTACTGAAAGTTTCCCAGCTTTCCACGTCACTATAACCAGAATTTTCTCAATTTTCCAAAACAATATGTCACATTGTCCAACCAGGATGTGAAACAGTTTCCTTCTTCCTCCGGCCAAGCAGCCATTGGAACGTGGCTGACTCATTGTCCAGCTATGTTGTTTTGGCTGGAGCTCCATCCACCTCAGCTCTCCCACCTTCCAGTTCTCAAGTGTGTCTGAATTCACATGAATAACCCAGATATAAACCAGTCCACCAGTGAACTGAATTCAGGCTTGACACCATGAGCCTGGTGTGGTTTGAACTGGCAAATCGCAAGCAGCCGGCACTCAGCAGAAATACAGTACTGCATTCTAACCACTGCGCCACCTTGGATCATGTTTTATAGGAAGGAATGGTGGCATATGGTCTGCCTTTATAGAATTTGCTATCCTTTCTATTTAAAAATACAAGGAAAGTTTACTCCTCTGGAGCAAATTAAACAAAAACATAGACAATCATCTTCTTCTGAAAAAAGTGTTTCTCTAAGACTGCAAAAGAGAGATTGAGTTATGAGTGGAAGAACCTGCCAGCAACAATCAATTCTGGAAAAGGGGAAAACTCGGGGATTCTGGTAAGTTGCGGATCAGGAATCTTCATGGAAAGCTTATTTCAGCCTACCCTCAAGTATATCAAATGCAACCTCCTACACAGAGGGTATTATTTCAGGCAATGGTGGAACACAAAGGACAGGTTGAACTCACCCCTCACGGAAGGAAACAAAAGCAAACAGGAAGAGATAAATAGTGCAAGGAGAGTAAATTGGGCAAAACTTATTCCCGCTTACCTGCATGAGGAATCTCTCTGTTTCCGAAGCCTTGCCGGCAGCTACACACTGAAAAGTGGCATTCTGTCCAGCATTTACCTCCACATCACCCAGGCGGGAAAAATGAGGTGCTTTGGCTGCCAAAAGAAAGATAAACAGACAAAAAAATCTGTAGAAAAAAACTTCTACAGTTAATCCCCTCCTACAAAAATGATATAGCTCAAAAAAATGAGTATAAAACAGGTCGAGGGTGGGTGGATTAATTTAACTCTAAACAGACTTTAAGGAGAGAGTAACTGCCAGAATATCTTTGGGGCACTAGCTCACTCCACTTACTCGCTCCTCATCTTTATTGCATCTTTATTTATATTCTTCATAAAGGGACTTTATAAGGATGAGAACATAGCGCCTCTCTGCAACTTATTAAAGCAATTGCGTCTTTCCTAGTAATTGGAAACCCAAAATGTGGGGGCTGGGGGGGGTTTGCTGTGAAGAATTGCAGGCAGGTGCTATTTTCATGCCCTTGGACAGACAGAAAACCGTTTTGGAATAAACCCAAATAGTAGCAGAGCCCTAGTATTTATTATCCCTAGTATGGTTGCAAATTTCACTGTGAAATCATCTTCCTCACTGCATCGTCTGTCATCTTCCCAAGGACCAAGTTTTTAGACAAAAGCTAGCCATAAGGGACCTGGAACAAGTCTGTGCTACTAATGGAATGGAAAAGTTGATCACTTACAGCAGGGATAATTCAAGAGCAGGATGTCATCCAATCCCAAGTAGCCGTGCCTTTCATTGGAAATGACTGCTTCAAACAATACCTATGGATAAATAAGAGGCATTCTGGTGTTACAGCTGGAATATTGGAGTAGGACAGGGGAGACCTTATTTCAACTCTGACTCTGAAATTCACTGGGTGGCTCTGGGTTGGGCACTACCTTAATCCAACCCAGGGGTCCCCAAACTTGGCAACTTTAAGATTTGTGGACTTCAACTCCCAGAATTCTCCTGACAGCTATGCCTGCTTTTTCCCCCCTCTCTTAATCTCCTAAAGTGGAGAGAGATTGCAGAGGAAGGGATTACAAAACAGTAAGCTATGCTGGCTGGAGAATTCTGGGAGTTGAAGTCCACAAGTCTTAAAGTTGCCTAGTTTGGAGACCTCTGATCTAACCCATTAACTAATCTGTCTAAAGAACATTGTGTAAAGAAGGAAAACATAAATACAGGTAGTCCTCGACTTACAACAGTTCATTTAGTGATCATTCGAAGTTACAACATCACTGAAAAAAGTCACTTATGACTATTTGTCACACTTACAACAATTACAGCATCCCCATAATCATGGGATCAAAATTCAGATGCTTGGCAATTGACTCATATTTATGACAGTTTGCAGTGTCCTGGGGTCATGTGATCCCCTTTGGCAACCTTCTAAAAAGCAAAGTCAATCGGGAAGCCAGATCCACTTAACAACTGTTACTAATTTAACAAGTGCAGTGATTCCCTTAACAACTGTGGCAAAAAAGTTTGTAAAATGGGGGCAAAACTCACTTAACAAGTGTCTCACTTAGCAACAGAAGTCAAGGAGTACCTGTATCAACTTGAACTTTTAGAGGATAGAAATCTAGCTCATATTTTCACTAATTATTTTCATAATAGTTTGGTTTTGGTTGTGCCTTTGTTATTTTTTTTAAAATGTAAGGAATCCAAGAAAATAAAATAAGGACCTTGTTTGCACAACTTGATTTACTGCCCCATATAATTGGCTGAAGTTTTGGCATCCCTGATAATCTACAACATTTTGGGCAACTTTGAGCACAAAGGAGCTGTCAAGCCAGTTGATATTCTGTTGCTGCCCAAGGCTAATTTTTCCCCCTCAATAAATTCTCTTTCAATTTGCAAGGTTATTGAAGAACTGCAAAGAATGCCATAAAGGGGATCATGGATTTTCAGCTGCCTAGATTGAGGGGAAGACTATCTGAAGCCGATGATCAACTTCCTTTGGAGGAAGTGTGATAATAAATCTCGTCTGATCATAAAGCAGAAATTAGTACAGATCAGTCAGATTATACAGTGACAAGCATCCATCCCAGGAGGATAAAACGAATGGGCTAAGTGACAATTAATTAATTATTAGACAATTACTATTGACAATCCAGTGAAATCCTCTTGCTTTGCACGTTCATTTTTCTCATAAATGAAGAGCTGGATTTCCGTAGCATATTAAAATCAAGTGCATTTCCATTCAACCTCAACTTCTGTTGATTTCATGCAATATCCATGCAGCTTTTGGAACAACTGGAAGTGGTGTACCATTATATTTTCCTGGGACTTTGTTGTGAATTCCCAACTCTAATCTACATCTGGGATTTATTGGCATTCACCCAAGCAAGAACTAAAAAAAAAAATACTGCTTAGCTTTTTCAGATCTTTAAATGGAGAGCTAGGTGCTGCCACCTAGTTGGGCATGTAACAAGTAGAGTAGACTACAAGTGTTCACACCTTGTAGTTGGTAGAAGACAGGAAATCCAGTAATTATCTCAGCCCATTGCATTAAGACATAGTACAGTTTATTACTTTGGATTTGGCATGTTCAGTGAACATGGTAAACATGTTTTGCTAATCCATGGTATGGTTTAGGGTTCTGTATGTAAATTCAGCCACACACTTCCCTTTTCAGTAGATGATTTCCCTCAAGCATCAGAATTTATCCCAAATCTCCCACAAGGTTTCTCCAGAAATGTAACCGTATGAGATGACCAAGCTGAGCCTGAGGGAGGAGTCAAGCATGTCATCAGCCTCGAGTCTCTTCATGCCAACAAGAGAGCTAAGTCCAGCCCCCCTTGAATTCCACTGATTCCTATCTACCATCAATTTGCTTTGATCATTAGTAGCTCAGATTCTTGTAAACAAGTGTTAGCGTGCAATGAACCTATGGTCATTTGAACTGCTTTGCTTCCTGTTTTTTTTGCACCTGACAACAACTCTCCTCTCACCTGGTACTCATTGGGCCAAAACATGCTGACAGCAAGCTCCACTTGATGCCATTGCCGCCCATGGGAGCCAGAGACATTCCACACCACGCTTCCCAATGGCCCTCCATTCATCTTGACAAAGACATTCAAAGTCCCAGGACTGTGCCCATCCCGACTGTACATGAAGTAGCTGAACTGGAGGCAGTGAGTGTCATTTTCACTCAATGTCTGGAAGAGGATCTGTGCTTTCTGCCCTGGATTGTGCTGGGAGGAATTGACCATCAGATAAGAACCTGTGATGGAAAGAGAGGAGAAGGACACAATTTGTTTAACCAGCAATATTTGAATCTGAGGTTCTGTATATCTGATAATGCTGTCATAAACTCATAATGGCATAAGAAACATGCACACGAATCCACAGTAACTCTTGTTCTTCCCATCCTTTGTAATCCAAGCAACCTTACAAATCCAATTTACAGCCTAGCAAAAGACATGTAAGAGACCAGGTGGGGGGCAGAGTTAAGTGTAACATCAGCATAGAATCTTTATATTGCCATCAATGGTCCAAATCCAACCTTTCTTGAATTCCGTTGGCCTTATCTAGCACCAGTTTACTACTGAACTTTTAGTTCACTAGATTCTTGTGTATAGGCTGAAGCAATAAATCTCTGAAGTATAACCAAAGGTTTCATCTGATCCTTTGCACCTGACAAAATATGACAAACTCCAGAGTTGCAAGATTTTTTATGCTGGTCCAAATCTCCAAGCCCATCAACTGGACCTCAGGGCAAAACACTGACTGGAATAGACAGAACGTAGATTAAGGCTCCCACTCCCATCTTGAAACCCCCATAACAACAACAACGTTAAGTAGCACAGTAGATCTTGGTTCATTTTTGGCAGAATTTGGGTGAATTGTAAAACAGTCCAAAATTAGTTTTGCATCCCATTTGCCTTCTTCTTGTGGAATTTCAAGGGTGGAAATGCTCTCTCCGTCTTAACATTGTGTGTGTGTGTGTGTGTGTGTGTGTGTGTGTGTGTGTGTGTGTGTTTAACATTATGTATATGTATGGCAATCTCCCATTGGTCATTATGTCTCTTTTCTGCTCAGTTTAGAAAATTATGAGTATTTGAATCATAGCAATATTCTTGGTGATAAGCTATAACTGGTATCTATTGCATAAAGAGCTCAACATACTTCCCACCTTAAAACTCGGGTCACCTCCAAAGAGACTGCATTTTTACACATGCACGCAAACAAAGTGCCATGCCAACCTGATCACTGCTTGTATTATAGTCAAGGAGACCATGAGAATTATTTACCATTCCTCTAGAATTCCTCCAGTCTTTATTGCTCTGAAACGCCTAACTCCACCTGGATCAAGCCATTTAATTTCCATTCTGCTTTCTTGAATCATTTAACATTAGTTGCTTCTGACTAAACCGCACTCTGTTGGTTATTACAATACCCAGAGGCCATCTGTGTAATAAACCTCAATGCTTCTTGGCAGCAGAACAGAGCAGCTACCTGTCTTTCCATAATCATGGATCAAAATTTGTAGAATTTTTACATCCCATTATTCCATGGTACTTCCAGAAATATCAGAAAACAAGGAGTGACTCAATATATATTACTATTTGGGGTTCCTAGGTGAGAACTGATACCTGGTCAGAGGTCCTTTCAAGCAACTCCTTGAATGGGAACAGTACTGTGGTGGAATCACTGGCCAGGAGCCAGTCTTTACCAATGAAAATCTTTCCAGAGATGAGGAGAGATCTTTGAGATCCTCTATTTGTACTCTACAAGAGCTGCTCCTCACAAGGAAACCTTCAAGTCAGGGTTTATCTCCTGGTGAACTGCTTGGACTTGTCCCTGCAGCCCTTTCCCTTCCCAGAATCCACCACATGCAATGCCTTTGCTGTGCTGGATCAGCCCAGAGTTGTCCATATTAACAACTCTGATACAAAGGCATAAAAATGAAGATGATCCAAGTGGTAAATTATTATTGCATGTGCTAGAGATATCCTGCTGTCCAGATGAAGCAGCACTTATTCATTAATTCATCCATTCATTCATTCGTTCATCCATCTGTCCATCCATTCAATTTCTGTACCTGCCCATTTCAAACAAATGATTATGGGTGGTGAACAATCACAAAAACAACTACAACTATGTACAACTGTAACAGAGAAATAAATATAATAAATAAATAAATAAATAATGTAAAAAGAAATATTAATATAAGCAAGAAAAGTGGCCCTTAGCACATTGAGACCCCAAGCCCATGTGCATAACTAGGTCTTCAAGGTATTATGAAAGGCCAATGTCAGGATTCCAACCCTAATTAAATTATAACTCTTGAGTCAAACTTCAAAAAACTTCACAAGATTTATTAGAGGCGACATATTAGCATTGCACTATATGAAGCCAACTCTGGCATATGTAATTTACAGTCACCTGTGACTCTGTTTCTCCACTCCCCACTGGGTGTCTCGTAAACCAGATTCTGCAATTAAGCACGTTCATGAGCTTGGAGTTATCATTCACATTCTCCAATTAAATATATTCGTGGGCAAAAGCTCTGGTAGTTTAGTTACAATCCTTTAAAGGTAAGAGTTGGAATGTACTTTCGATTTCAAACTGCTGCACTGCTCTTCCAGATTTCCCCCCCCCTTTTTTTTTAAATGGCAACTACTAAAACAGGCATAGGAATGTTTTATGAGTTGATAGCCAAGAGGGTTGGTGCCATTCTAATCTCTGGAGGAAGAATGTTCCAAAAGGCAGGGTCTATGGCCAAGAAGTGACTTTTTCAACAACATAGAAAAATGTGGTGTGAAATTGATGTGCTGCCCGACTTCCAATGACAATGGACATACAAAAGAGCTTATGTTGCAATGCTCCACCTGTTCCTTACTGGTTAGACCAGGGGTTCCCAACCTGGGGTGCGAGACGATATTCCAGGGGGTGCGAGAAAAGTCCAGGTAAATAATAGGATATTGGCTAAATGTTGGCATTTTTATTTATTATGCAATGGATTAACTTTGTTTTCATTTTAGAGTTAAGTATCGTTATTTAGTGGCCGTCACATACATAGCTGAAAAGATTCAATCCTACCATATATTTAACGCGTTCAGTAGTTCCTAAAGTCTAAATTTCAGGGGGTGCGAGGTTCGAGTGAAATTTCTTTAGGGGTGCGGGGCGAAAAAAAGGTTGGGAATCACTGGGTTAGACTGTCACTCCATTGCTATTATTGCTCTTTTGAAAAGCAAGAATATATGCCTGTCCAATTGGTAGATTTCTCACCATACCTAACTTTCCATCCTTTTTTTTTTCCTTGTAACAACTGTACCAAAAGAAAGTGACAAGGTTCAAATCATCCCAGGAGCTTCAATAGCTGAAGATGGATTAAATTCAGGTCTCTCTCTCTCTGCTCCCAGATCTATGCTTTTCCGACTAACAACACCTTGATAATTATGTTGCAAAAGCTTGGATCAACAACCATCTCTCAAATTGATTTCTAAAGCAATTGATGGCAAAAGATTGGAGGGGCTGTAGTGAACAACAGATTGCCTGTCCCAGCTCTTCACCATTACCCCATTCTGTTTTGCTGCAATATTAATATATAAACAGAGAAAGCACCTTTATATATACTCAAACCATCTGGCCCATCTATTTCAGTCCTGCCAACTCTGATCAGCAGCAGCTGGCCACAAGATTTCTCCCCAGACAGATCATGCGAACTGCCACTGAGCTACAGCAGCATCCAGTGTACAGGATGATAAAGGAAATTCCCCAGAGATACGTCTTTCCCATCATAACCTACATACGATGCGCTGATCTGTCTCAGAAATTAAAATTGCTCCCTAATGGCTCTGCTAAAAATGGCAATTTTCAATTGCCCAAGCATCTGAAAGTTGATCACATGACCACAGGGATGCTGCAATGGTTGTAAGTGTGAAAAATTGTCATAAGTCACTCTTTTTTCTGCGCCTTTGTAACTATGAACGGTCTTTCAACTAAATCTTATCAACATAAATGAATGAATGAATAAATAAATAAATTAAAAAATAAAAAATAAAGGAGCCTCTGTGGCTCAGTGGTTAGAGTGAAGTACTGCAGGCTACTTCTGCTGCCTGCCAGCTGCCTGCAATTTGGCAGCTCAAATCCCACCAGGCTCAAGGTTGACTCAGCCTTCCATCCTTCCGAGGTGGGTCAAATGAGGAGTCACATTTTGGGGGGCAATAGGCTGACTCTCTAAAACTGCTTAGAGAGAGCTGTAAAACACTGTAAAGCGGTATATAAGTCTAAGTGCTATTGCTATTGCTAAATGAACTGTTGTAAGTCAAGGGTCACCTGTATATACCTACACCTGTATATATACACCTGTATATACAGACTTACAACCAGGGGTGCGATTCAACCAGTATAAAAAACCAGTTCGGTGAGTGCATGCATGACAAACGCACGCTCTGTGTGCATGCTCCACATTTTAAAAAGCTAATACTTACCTTCAACTGCAGCTGAAGAAAACAGCTGAGGCACGGAAAAACGCTCTGCCGTGAGAATCAGCTGTGCTCTAACAAAAAGACATAAAGAACAGGAAAGAGCAGGGGCGGGCGGGCCCACATGCTCGTCGGAGTGAAGTGACGGAGGCAGCTGATTGTCGGAACAAGGGGTTCGCTCGAACCGGTCTGAACCGGCAGAATCCTACCCCTGCTTCAGAGGTGATAATCAGCAGGTTCTGACCAGTTCTGGAGAACTGGTAGCGGAAATTTTGAGTAGTTTGGAGAACCAGCAAATACCGCCTCTGACTGGCCCCACCCCCCTCTATTCTCCGCCTCCCGAGTCCCAGCTGATTGGCTGGGTCTTCTTTGGTTGCCCCACACAGGAGAACGGAGCTGCAAAGCAGGTTACTGGGGTGGGGAGGGAATGGGATTTTGAAGTATCCTTCCCCTGCCATGCCCACAAACCACGCCCACAGAACCGGTAGTAAAATAAAATTTGAATCCCACCCCTGCCCTGCTTACAACCACTTATTTAGTGACTGTTTGAAGTTATGAAAAAAAAAAGTCAGGTGACTTCTGACCAGTTTCACACTTACAATCGTTGCAGCATCCAGATAACAGATAATCAGAGTTAGAAGGGACCTTATAGGTCATCTAGTCCAACCCCCCCAAGCGGGAGACCCTACACCATTTCTGACAAATGGCAGTCCAATCTCTTCTTGAAGGTCTCAAGTGATGCCACGTCCCCATGGTCACATGATCAAAATACAGGGGCTTGGCAACTGAC